TGTGACATTGGGAGCGCAAGTTCTGAGAGGAGTGCTGAGCGGGGGGTGCGTACTCAATCACATAGAAAAGTGAGGGTGATTTTTCACGGTTTGGTTTTGGGGGGCCAAATATTTTAAACACACGCATCAACCTCCTCGTCATCCTCGTGAGCCGCGGAGACTGATTCGGGAAACTTCTTCCGCCCTGGTCACTTGCAAGCGGGTATTTGAGGGATCCAAGAAAACAAGGGGAAAAGGGAAGCGCATGACGTTTGACCTTGAAGTGTCTGCGCAGCATAAGGTCTTTCGCTGGAACTTGTCGGCAACTTGAAGGCGGCTAACATGCACCACGTGGCTGGCTCCAACCCCACTGATTGAGCATTGCGTCCTTCGACACGAACTCTCCTTCAATGATCAACTCATTCCATTTCCATACGGAGTGGCTCGCATACCTGCATGAAGGACCCTAAGATCAGGCGTTTCAGGCTACGGCTAATGAAAGCAAAGGGTCTCTGCAGAATCCACATCACAGATCTTCTCAATGTGTTTTTTGTGCCCCGTGCCATGCAGTCAGCAATGATGGCTTCGCTTTTTGAAAGTCCCGTTTACCGCCTTCGAAGCCTTGATCGCCTCGCCGATGCCGACAAGTGCAATTTTCCCGGCTTTGGCTTATTTTTGTTGGCAACAGCATCGTCCATGTAAGGGACTTCATCGTTGTTTTCTTCACGTGCCTGGGAGTTCCCTTCATCATCTTCCGACTCACACTCATCAGCCTCCCAACTGCAGCGTGGCTGCGCGATCGAGTTTCCTTTTGAGATCAACCACATCCGCCTCAGCAAGAGTAGTGGGAGATGCTTCCCTGGCCAAAGGCGTGGGCTCTGCAGGCCAGGAACCTTTGCCCAAGGGAGTCTCTTTGGCAGGGGACGGCGTGCGCTTGGATCGCAGCGACGTTGGGCAAGGTGTTGACGGCCTGGGAAGGGCATACCCGTAGACCATAATCGCTCAACTGTTTATACCATCATGTTGCTTTTGCTCCGAGGCCAAGACACAGACTCCGAAGCACTGGGCGGAGCAAGTGGCTTAGTCCACTCTTTCTCTTTCTCCTTCTTCCGATTCTTGAGCTCCTGGTGTTCCTTCTGGATAGCCTGTTGGTCTTGCAGCCCAGCAAGGAGAAGGCAAGGTGCTTGGAGTTCCAGCGTGGCACTGCTCCGCCGAAGTTGGCCTTTCCTGCTCCAGCATCGTAACGCGTCCATGACTGGGCAATGTGATGCACTGCAACAGCTTTCTTGCGGATGCGCAGGCACCTTCCTCAGCGGCCGGGTGCTATATATCCCCTCCCTTTCCAACCTTCAGGTTTGAGCGGGACCAGGGGTGACGGAGAGTTTCGCCAAATACATTCCATGTTTTTTTCACGCAAACACCATTGAAAAAGTGCGAAAAATGAAACCACAATCTTGGGCGACCAACCGGCGATCTTTCGCGGCCAAACGGCGATCTTTCCCGAACCAGAAATTCGCAACATTTTGGGCCGTGGCTTTGCCTGTTTGCCCTTTTGCCCTTTCTGGCCGTCTTTGGGGGGTCAAACGGGCAAAGCCACGGCCTAAAATGTTGCGAATTTCTGGTTCGGGAAAGATCGCCGTTTGGCCGCGAAAGATCGCCGGCTGGTCGCCCAAGATCGCCGTTTCATTTGTCGCACTTTTTGAAAAGTTGAGTGTTTGCGTGAAAAAACACATAGAATGTACTTGGCGAAGCTCTCCGTCACCCCTGGTCCCTTTCAAACCTGAAGGTTGGAACGGGAGGGGATAGCATCCGGCCGCTGACGGAGGTGGAGTTTCAGGTGTGGCTGAGGAACTGTCGAGCAACGGGGCACCTTGCCTGCGCATCCGTGGGTTGGCTGCGGCACTGCATCACATTGCCCAGTCATGGACGCCTTAGGATGCTGGAGCAGGAAAGTCCAACTTCGGCGGAGCAGTGCCACGCTGATGGAACTCCAAGCGCCTTGCCTCTTCCTTGCTGGGCAGCAAGACCAACAGACTATCCAGAAGGAACGCCAGGAACTCAAGAATCGGAAGAACAAGAAAGAGAGCGTGGACGGACGCTCAGCCACTTGCTCCGCCCAGTCTTTCGGAGTCTGTGTCTTGGCCCCGGAGCAAAAGCAACATGATGGTACAAACAGTTAAGCGATTATGGTCTACGGGTATGCCCTTCCCAGGCCGTCAACACCTTGCCCACACCGCCCCTGCCAAAGAGACTCCCTTGGGCAAAGGTTCCTGGCCTGCAGATCCCACGCCTTTGGCCAGGAAGCATCTCCCACTTCTCTTGCTGAGGCGGATGTGGTTGATCTCAAGAGGAAACTCGATCGCGCAGCCACCCTGCAGTTGGGCGAGGATGATGAGTGTGAGTCGGAAGATGATGAGATGATGAAGGGAACTTTCAGGAACCTGAAGAAAACAACGATGAAACCCCTTACATGGACGATTCTGTTGCCGGGAAAATTGCACTTGTCGGCATCGGCGAGGCGATCAAAGCTTCGAAGGCGGTAAACGGGACCTTCAAAGAAGCGAAGCCATCATTGCTGACTGCATGGCAGGGGGCACAAAAAACACATTGAGAAGATCTGTGAGGTGGATTCTGCAGAGACCCTTTGCTTTCATTAGCCGTAGCCTGAAACGCCTGATCTTAGGGTCCTTCATGCAGGTATGCGAGCCACTCCGTATGGAAATGGAATGAGTTGATCATTGAAGGAGAGTTCGTGTCGAAGGACGCAATGCTCAATCAGTGGGGTTGGAGCCAGCCACGTGGTGCATGTTAGCCGCCTTCAAGTTGCCGACAAGTACCAACGAAAGACCTTATGCTGCGCAGACACATCAAGGTCAAACATCATGCGCTTCCTTTTTTTTTTGCTTTCTTGGATGCCCCAAAAAGCTGCTTGCAAGTGACCAGGGCGGAAGAAGTTTCTTTAATCAGTCTCCGCGGAACCACAAGGATCATGAGGAAGTTCATGCTTGTGTTTAAGCTCTTTGGCCCCTTAGTAGTCGCCCTCACTTTTCTATGTGATTGAGTACTCACCCCCCAGGACTGTCGTGCTGACCCCTCTGAGAACTCCCCTCAGAACTTGCGCTCCCAATGTCACAATACGATTCTTTCTCCGGCACGTTGCAAAGGGGCTTTCGTGGACCAAGAGAACGAAAGAACAAAACTAAGACTTGGCTCAATTAGGAATTTGTAAATTAATTGCTTTGAAAGGGAGCTTCAAGGAGACACGAAACACAATTGTCAATTATTTGATGGTTGGCCCTATTGCTTCCCGCGCAGCTTCTCATTCGGCTTCGGGGGACCCAGCTGAGGTTTTTGTGGTACCTCCCCTCAGGATTCTATTACTGACCCCCCTCAGAACTGTCCTCAGAAATTAAGTGCTGACGGTCTAGCACTGTCTCAGAAATTGAGTACTGATTTCCCCTTCAAAAAGAAATTGAGTGTCTCAAAAAATGGAGTACTGAGCCAGAAATTGAGTACGGAATTCCGTTGTCCCCACAGTCCCCAAAATTGTCTGCGCAAGTTCCCTGAGGAATAGTAAGGCCAACTATGCAGCCAGTTCAATTGACTGTTTGCTTCGGCCCTCACACCCTCCTTTGAAGTGACCCAGCTGAGACATGGGCCCGCGTGATGGCTGAGTATCACAAGTTTGTGTTTGCCCCACTTCGCTTCTCCCCGCGTGCGCCATCTGAAAGGATAGCTATCCATGGTTTAAGGTCCAGGGCTCTGATGTTGCGCTTATTTTGGAATGGTTGGTTGCCATCGTTGGCGGCTTTATTCAAGCGCCACTTGATCAAGCCCACGTCCCACTCTTGCGCATGATGCGCCGTGGAAGCGAGATTGCTGTAAAATCCCCGCAAGTGCTCTATATGAGCATGGGCTTTGGTCAGACCAAGCCTGCGCTGCAAGGGTCTACGCAGGCTATGAGTTCCAGCAGACTTACGCACAACTGGCAGGTGTCTCTCTTCGCAAATGCATTCTTTCAACCACACACTTGTTGAGATCAAAGCTGTCCTGAGGCAAGGTGCCATCAAAATAGCAAACCCGCTCATACACAGCTGTGAGCAAAACGAAGACCTAGTTAGCAAGATTTCAAGGACCAGCAGGCGATGCCATCAAAAGCAATTGTTGAAGCGGGTGTTGCAACTCTACCTCGTGAAAGCTCGAGCCCTTCACTGAAGGTATCGAGCCAAGGCCCAGGCCAGCCAAAAGCCGCTGCGCCGCCAGTAGGAGCCAGAGCAGTGGTCTTTCTGAAGCAGCAATTCTTGAAGAAGCCGCCCAATTTTGTGCAAGGCGCTTTTTTATTTCGCTGTTTTGGCCACACGGCCACGTACCTGTAGTGCTAGCAGCGCAAAAAGGCAGGAGGGTGGGAGTCAACAGGAACGCGCCCAGGCCATGACAGCTGAGAGCATCCGATGTGACATGTCACGCCCGGCGCTTCCCAATCAAGAATCGCCGCTTCCCTGACAAGATCGCCGTTCCAAAGCAAAACCTACTTGTGCTTAAACAGGCGGTTTTTTTGCACCCTTTGGAAGGTGGAGGTATTCAAAACTGCGCCGAGGCCGGCGCGTGACGCCTCTCGCAGCGGGGACGGAGCCTCATATGCGGAGTTTATGGAATCAGGCCGGGTGTATTTTCGGAACTTTTTTCGACCTAGAGGGCCTTTTTTGCGAGCGTAGAAGCCGTCTAGAAAAGGGCGTGACAAAGATATTATTTCAAAGCTGCCTCTGAAGGGGCTCTCAAACAGAGTCCTTGTGCTGTCAAGCCTCAAGATGATTCTTTTACGCTTGGTCTGCTACTCCTGTTTCGGCCCATGCAGTACTGCGCATCAAAGCAGCCGATGTAAGGACATGAGGAGTTGACAAAGTCTTGGTACCCTTTTGAGACATTCCGATTTGTGCCACTTGAAAGGAATGTTCTACACGAGGCTGCAGTTTTGACTGCTCGCTGCATGAATTGCCGCGTGAAGTGTTTGCAGCGATGAGGTTGTGGCGCACCCACCTGCTGCCAGAAGATGAGCAGGCCAGCTATTTTAGTGCCGTCGATTTGTAGACAAACCACCCAACAGTTTGCTTGATCGGCTGAATTTGAGATGTTTGAGTGAGATGTTTGAGTACGATATTGAATGCACCTGCCCTTCGGCAGTTTCTGCTTAGCCTATGAAGGCTAAAGGGAACAGTATGAGACGGTTTCCACTACCCGCCCCCCCCGGACATACATATCATATATATATAATATATATATATAATATATATACATACACTGTAAACACGTATGTAGTTACCTTAGAGTCCTCATATGAGGCATATATACAGGTGGCATCTTGTTGCAGGAACGCCGAGGTGGGCTGCACTAAGACACCGCCAGGAAGTTGAGGCGAGACCACCAGGCGGGGCGCAATATAAGGAATACTGGCTCGCATACACTAGTTTCCCTTGGGTACTTAGATGTGTTTTTAGTTTTCTTTTATTTTTTTTTTTTTATTTTTATTTTTTTTCTGGGGGGGGGGGGGCTGTTAGCTAAATGGTTAACCCTAGTCCAGTTTGCTGATTTGTTTGCTTCTGGTGGGGGGGGAGAGGTCAGGGGAGGTCTTCCACGATGACCTTTTTAAGTAAATCAATCCAAATAGGTTGGCTGTTCAGGGTTGAGAAAGATCTCATCAGGCCCAAAACAGTGAATAGATGTTTTTTTGTTGGTAAAGGAATCTCAAAGGGAGCTACATCCTGTTTTGATTTTCAAGAAGCTGTGCTTCGTTGACTAAGGGCGAACAGATTAGCTAGCTTCCATACCATCTGAGAATTCTAGCAAACCTTGCGAAAAGCAAGTTCTAGGTGGCGAAGCCCTATTCGTCCCATTTCCATGTTCATGAAATAGCGGGGACCCCAACATTTTGTTGTTTTCCCTGCGACTTCCTTGGCGTGTGGCGTGTGCGAGTTTGAGGTCCACTTCGGGCGCTGCGTGCATCTCCGGGGCAAAGACTCCGAGCAGGCGCCTGCCCGAATTCGGGAAGCGGGGTGCCAGGTGGTGGTTTGGACCATGAGATTGTGAGACTTGGGTGTGTCTAGTTTTGAGTGAACCCCCCAAAAATGTGGCTTTCCTGAAAAAGCCGCCAACAATAAAAGGGGGGTCCCCTAGTAAAGACTCACCCGGATTGTGATTGGCGCAGCGTTTCTTTGCCAGGTGGTACATTGTGCCCTTCTACGATGCCGTTGCCCTGGGCTGAGCAAGAGGTGCTTCGTGGAGCTGGATTGACGGTCGTTTCTGGTTGATGACAGTGAATTGTTCGCAGACAATCGCTCCCTCCCACTACTTGTGCGTAGAACCTGGCGTTCGGGGGTCCCTTTAAAAGGAACATCTCCAAGCACTTTTGTTTTAAACGTAGGACCTGGCGTTTGGGGGCCCCTTTAAAAGGAACATGGTCCAAACCCACTACTTCCTTTTTTTTTGCGTAGAAATTGGCATTCGGGGGGTCCCTTTCAAAGGAAAATGGTCCAAACCAGGAACCCCCGGCAGGTTCCATGTGAATTGGTGGGAGGTATCTCTACCAACCGGTTAAGGCAGCGCTCGCTTTTGCTTTGGCTGTTGGATCCGATTTCCGGTGAGACACAACGGATAAGAATATTTGGGAGATTATGATTGCTTCGAATCCTCGTGTGTTAAACTGTGTTTAGCTTGAAGGATATTTGGAGGAATGCAACCTACTTCTTATTATTAGGGATTTGCTTAGAGTTGGTGAATCACTCCTCCCTCTCGCAACCCTCGGCAATTATTTTCCCCGATTGGCCACAACTGGCGTGCCTTTTTCACGAATCTGCAGGATGCAAATCCAAGGTTGGGATCCTACTGTGCATGGACGAAATCCTGCACCACTCTGAAACCATGCGAAATCAGTGTTGGTATTTGCAGGGGGAATCGAATCATCCCAGGGTTTCTTTGGTGGTGCGAAATGGATTTCGTCCATCCACAGCATGGGGAACTCACGCAATGTCAACGAGTGGCCAATTGGTTTTCCATGGCCTCGGGTTCGCAGGAAGCTTCCAGCGCATGGGCGACTAGATCTTCCAGGCGCAGCTAAGACAAGCTGTTGGATGTTTAGAGTGGAAAAGCGTTTTAAATGTAACCAGACCCTTGTTCCCTTCGAAGAGAAGCAAAAGGAGGCTGTTGCAACAATGAGTATAAATCAACGTGTGTAACCGGTGGCTAACCCTGTACCCCTGGTGCTCCCCGGCAAAGTCTGATTCAGTGAATTGTTATGTTCACATACCCAGGGCTTGCCCTTTGACTTGGAATCTTCACTTGGAATCTTCTTTCTTTAAGGGGCCAAGGGAACCAACTTTAATTTGTCCAGCAAATCTACCCGATCGGCCATGTTTACTCGCTTTGGCTCAATGTGTGTCTGGCTCAAAATTGGAGATCTCCAACACATTGCCTATTTCCTTGTGACGGTGGGTCAAAACCCTGGCATTTTGCTATTTGCGCAGGTCGTATCCCAATGGCCCCGGAACCCGTCAAAGCTGCCCCAAGCCACCCAGGTTGCCATGGCACCTCCTGCCAGCGGGCCTCTTGAGGAAATGGTTCTCGTTTCCAGAAGTGCCATGGCAACATGGGAGGAAGGGAATTTTGTTGAATGGGGTTTCTTTTCTTGGCTCAACCGGGTGGCTAAATTGTGAGAAAGTCCACAACAAAATCCAATGAGTATCTTCACCAGGTGGCTTGGCTTCATTGTGGGAAAGCCCCCAGAGGGTCCAAAGTACATCTGAGCCACAATCAAAACTCAAAACCCGGGTAAGTGAAGGTTAGTAAGGGACGATCCTGCGGCCGCCTTCTTAGTTCTTTACGTGGTTCCGGGGCGACCATTTTTGTAGCGGGTTTTTGATTGTGACTCATTTGGGCTTCCCTTCCGCTCGGGAAGTTTCAGGCGTCTCGGCCTCTGCCCTGGCGGACCTGCGGGCGTATTTGTACGCCGGCGCGCTGCCGGGCGGCGAGGCGTTGTCAGCGGGGTCAGGGGATCGGAGGTTCAGTGTGAAACCGAGTGGAAAGTAATGGTTGCGGCTGAGGAGCACCCCCCCCCCTCCCCCCCTTGAAGGTCAAACCTTGCTGGCCCTTTACTTTTGTATTGGTAAGAATCTGGCTAGGAAAAGGGGATACCTTTAACCGGGCGGGTTTACTAATCGCACGCATACAACTGATCAGTCCCCCTAGGTCGACAAGCTTTGGACCAAGTCCCCAAAACTGAGATTTTATGTTGTGGTTCCATCAAAATTCGGGACCCCCCCAAGAAAACATGTTTTTTTGTTGATTTCCTTTGGTTTCCCTTTCAATACCAACCAAAAAAATCCTTAAAGTATTCCAGGTTTGTCTATCCATTCGAGAGGGGTTGTGTACCCAAGTCTCAAGGCAAGCCAGTATACCAAAACTTCAGGCATGTCCTTGCGGTCTTGAAAGGGTGGTTCCCTTGGCTGCCTACTGAACAGAATGGAACCACTGCGAGTAGGGTATGTGTCCCACCAATCCTGAGCCGAGCAGCAGGAGCACCTGCCTGAAATATTCACTGGGAAAACCTGCCAGATTCGTCAAGGATCCAACCAGGCACCAGGTTTGGAGTAAGGGCAAGAAGCTCCCTGTGCTCATCGGCTTTATACTTTTTGGGCTCGGAGCATTTGGTGGTAAACAAGTTTAGACTTGTTTGGCCCAATCCACTGAGGAAGGGAAAACACGAAACCCAAAACAGCGAACCTCCCTCACTCGACTAAAGCAGATCGGAAGGATGTGACTGGTGGAGTCCTTTTCCACGGTCCAATGTTTGTTGCCAGGACCTTGGGGCAGGTAAATGTTTGTAGCATAAATGAGTTGCATTTGCACACGATGTCGTTTTGGTTTCCGGCGGGGGGGGGCTGGGCGGTGAATCCCGGACAGGAGCTTCCACGGCTGCAGGCGCTGCGTTCTGCGGCGCAAGCCGCGGACCTGCCGGTGCTGCTGCGGATCTGCGGGGCCATGGGGGCCGAGGCTGTTGAGGCCCGAGCCATGCCCGAGGCGCGGGAGGTGGGGGAGGTGGGGGAGGTGGGGGGGCTGGGGTTGGCTTGGAGCGGTCTCACTGCCTGAGCTTGGAGTGGTCCTGTTGATTGCTTGGTTTGGGTAGAACTAGATGGGTTGCACTGCTTTAGATTGGTTGTATGTCTCATGTACCCCTCTATTTTTAGATGACACTGGTTTAGATGGGTTTTATCCCATTTACTGGGGAAACCCATGTCTTTGTCTAAAAGGTCATGGCGGGAGAGAAAATGGCTCTGACTTTTCTTTTCCTAGGGCCCCACCTCAAAAGTGGTTGGTGGACAGAAACCCAGTTTTAGTGATGTCTTTCAAAGATGTCCAAAGGGTCACCAACTAAAACTCACACCCACATGTGAAACCGACTGCTTGAATCTTGAGAATAGCTGCCGCTGGCACAACTTACTCTATCCTTCCGTCTCCGGAAACGAGCGCGTTTTCAGCAGTCCGCTGCCTTTGTTCCATAGGAGCAACTTGCAAGCTGACCGAAACCTGAACTAAACGCAACCCTAAACACGAACCCTCGGCGTGGGTGGCCAGGGGGCCAGTGCAATGGATGAACAATCAACAGAGGGGTTGCCAACTTGGCCCAAGATCCAGGTAGGTTTTGAGCACCTTTGTGCCATTCTGTCCCCAGAACGCTTGACCGGAACCCATGGCTTTCCAGGGTATGTGGCTCCATGAAAATGAACATTTGGAGTTTTTTTTTTTTGGGGGGGGGTGTTTCCCCTCCAAATTTGACAAGTTGGAGGGCAGCCTTTCAACCACCCATTTGAAACATGTTGCTTTTTCACCACCAAAATAAAGGCAAACCACCATTTACAAGTTGCAATGTTCAAGTGTAGAATGCATCCGGATCAATGTAAGGAGGGTTATGATTCAGGTGCGCATCCCGGCTTCGGGAGCTGTGGGCTCCCAGCTGACTGGGGCAGTGCTGGAGGCTCGCTTCAAAACCGCCCGCTCGGAGCTCCCGAAATCACCCGGTGGGTTCCATCAAGGGAGCAACCCTGAAATTGGGCATTTGTTGAAGATGTTGGGAAGGCTGCAATGCATGGATGCCTGGAAAGACCAGTTGTTTTCTTAGGTTCTGTGCAAATGGGAGAGCTTCCCTTTTGTGCCATTAGAAACGTCGTTTGTTAGAAAGGCCATTTCAGAACGATCTCCCCTTTGGGCGGTGATGATTGAAAGGGACATATATATCTATATATCTATTAGCGATGCAGGCGAAGTTGGCGGCCAAGTTCGGATCCTTTGGTGAATTGATGTAAGTTGTGTGGACATTTCGGCCCGCAAAGCTAGGTGGCCTTCTGGCCTCGTTGCCTGATCTTGGGGGCGCTGTTGCTGTGCGTTGCTGTGGTACTCGTTCTTCTATCTTTGTTTGGACCTTGTGAGGTGTCCCCCGGCTGTAGATTTGAGATTTGTGCTCAAGTGATCTCACCCCTCCTTGTGCTCAAGTGGTCTCGCTTTGGTCGAATTGGTGCTATGCAGTCACATGAGGACTGATCGACCCCGAGTGAAGGTTACACTGGTTTCCTCAGCTTTAAGTAGTTTGCTGTTTGTTTGTTTTTTTATTGATCCAACACAAGCAGCTGCAAGCAATTTCTCTTCCGAAAATCCGGCCCTCTCAAGTCGGTAATTGGCACGGCACCGAGTGACTTCCTCCCAGTGGCCAGCTTGTTTCAGGCTGACCTGAAGGGAGTCTAGCTGTGCCAAGACTGGTTCCTAGGGTCGGGCAACGTGGCCCCAAACTGTCAGGGAGCTGTTCCGAACTACTACAAGCTCGTTTTTTTGGCATGACACGTGCCCGCTTGGTTTCCATTTTAGCCAAGCCCAAAAAGAGTACCCTCAAGAAATGCACAGCCGTACCCAAAAAGACAAGTCAAGAAACCAAACAGCAAGCAAGCTAACCGCCAGGCGGACTTTGCAGAGCTGCTAAAGGAGCTGGAGCTGGACGACTCTCTCGATCGGGGTGATCGCGTGACTCCGGGCTTGTTTGGAAAATGTCGGGGTGCGCGGGCTGTTCTCAAAAAGGGGACCCCTTTTTGAAAATAGTTCATAGGGTTACCGAAAGGATAGTGACCCACTCGTTGAGTGGCAACCTTCTTCCCACGTGCCTTCCCCACCAAACTACGATTAGCCCACAAAAAAAGGGTTCCATCTCCGTACCGCGGCCATCTGGCAAATTGGATGATGTTGAAATGCAGATGCCCAAGAAACACGTTGAAGCCATCACATTGGCCCTTCCTGCTAGCTTGGCCCCTTAAGAAAGCTGCTCCAGTGACGCTGGACCCGCAAGGTATACTTGGTCTTCGGCGACAAGATGCGGCCTTGCAGCGGCCTTGGGTTTCGTTCTGCGGCGAGCGGGTGAGTGAGTGAATGTCGACCAGTACTCTGCTTGGGGGGAGGCAGGCGGCGCGCATGCCTGGCATCGGCTTTTCGCGGAGGCTAACATACGTACTGCTTGTCCGGCCCAAACTTGTCCGCGTCAAGACCGCATGTCATCCTCGCCACAGCTTTGCGCAGTGCAGCACGTCACACGAAGGTCGCATGAGGTCGCCTTGCAGGGTATAGGCCTAGCCAACAGCATCGCCTGTGGAGGGGCGCGCCCAAACGGATAGCGCGCTTCTCTGTAGATCACCCTTCGGATGCTATAGTGGTAAGCGCGTCTCTTGGTTTCGCAGGACTCGTCCACTCACCCACGACCTCATGCCAGACAGAAGGGGCCACCTCCGCCGATGGCAAAGTTCTGCCACGCCTCTGCAAGATGATCGCCCCAGCGACCCTTGCCCGCAAACAGGCACCCCATCGGCCACTCTTGAGAGGCTATCTGGGTGTGGGTCAAAGTTAAACCAAGGAACTGCAGGTTTAGTCCATGTGTCCATTTACCGGAATTCCTTTTTTGGTACCTATTTTTAGAAAGCTATAGTCCTTTTCGAAGCGTCGAAAGTACGGCTAAGGCCTCAGGCCAACCTCGGACCAAACCGCCGAAGCCCGTAAAGCCACTGACAATGTCACGCCGCTTCTACCTGGAGCTGGTTGATGTTTCCTTTTTCTGTTTGGCCCACTGTCTCCGTTGAGCCGACGCCCATGGACTTCTTCACTTCTAGGGAGTGGCCAAGAAAATCGCTAAGAGACGAAGAAGTCACAGAGATGGCCTCCTTTTCACAGAAAGGGGCATCTACTTGGCTTGTTCGAAATCAATCCTGAGTGTTGCCAATTGGCAGCCTCTCCAACTATTAGGCAAACACAGAGTTTCACTGCAACACAATCTCGAAAATGACCTGAAACAGGGGCAACAACCTCTAACAACCCCGCTCCAATGTTTCCGCCACGGCAATCCTGCAGCCAAGAGCTGTGTGTTTAGCCACCAAACGACCAAGCCTTCCGGCCAAAAGCTCCGAGGCTGTACGCACCTCCTGCCCCTCATGGCCCGCAGCGACTACATGGCCACAGCCTTCGGTGCCCGCTCCTGGTTCGTTGAAAAGCGCACCTTCCAGGCGAGGCTGACAGGAGCGCTGGAGGAGCCGAGCGGCTCTGAGGGACTTGCTTGACATAAGCGGTTGTTGACCTTCCCAAAAAGAAGGCATAACCAAGAAGCCCTCAACGGATCCACAAAGTCCGTTGTGGGCGATTTTAAGTGCATGGCAGGATACTTTTTGGCACCCAGTGAATCAATTTAGAGTCCCTCAACCTTTAGTTTTGCCACGAGGAAGTCAAAGGGGTATGAATATGGTTGGATCTTCAGTCGCCCTTTTTAGCACTAAGAGGCCCATATAACGCTGTCCAAACCACGTCAAACCACGACACCATGGCGAATTGTGGTGAACTTCAAGGTGTTTCAAGGATGGATGGATGGACGCACGGATGGATGGATGGGTGGATGGATGGATCCGTGGGTGGGAGTGGATGGAGGGAGGGAGGGAGGGAGGGAGGGAGGGATGGAAGGATGGAGGGGGGGAGGGGGGGAGGGATGAGGGGGGAGGATGCATGGCTGGCCGGATGGACGGACGGACGGATGGATGTATCCCGGCGGGCGTACTGACAGCACGGTCCCTCCTGCCACGGCCGTCCCTCCGCAAGCGTCAGTAGGACGCCTCCCGCTCCAGCCATGAAATCAAGTTCCATGGCTGGCCAGCCCAAGGGTCCCATAGCGTAACATCCTCGAGATGCATTTTCCTCCCGACGAGCTTGCACGAGGGCGTGAACCCGCCTCAACCGCACTGGTCAGGGCAGCAAAGGGGTGTCCCATATGCAATCAGCCAGCCAGGCAGTTGCCAACTGATTGCAACCCCCTACCAGTCACCCAGCTATGGGCTGGTCAGTAAACCGAATGACGCAAGGCTATGGGGCACTGCGTGGACGCCGGAAGGTGTTCTTGAATTACAAAGATGCGAATGGCTACTCTGTGTAAGCTACAAAGTTTAAGCCATAAATAGTGGTAAACCCAGAACTGGGCTTATAACGGGCTCATGTACCCGAACATTTGCAGTTACCCTTCGAGGGTGGATACTTTGACCACTTTCCTCAGGGGGAAAGACCTACTCAGCTGCTTGGGTCAGCCACTTGGTCAAGTTTGTTTGTTTGTTTGTGCTGGCTGTTGAAGACCAGCTTTTTAGCTTGTGGGGGTGAACACTAACTCAAAGCCAAATGCAAAGTTGAAGGTGTGTATGCTCACCCCTAAGGAACCGGGACTGCTCGAAAGCCATTGTTTTGAAGAGCTGCAAGGTCCGGCTGCTCACGCCCCCTTGTTGCTTGAAGATGAAATTTGACTTTCTCTCGAAACCACGTGGTGCGTCGGTTCATTTCGGCGGGTTTCGAGGCTTTTGCATTGCAAGTGGCCAAAGCGAGGGACGGTTTGAACGCCCTGAGGCTTGGACGCCAGACATGGCAAACAATTACACATGCGGGACACAAGTGAACACCCCTCTCGAAACCTAGATCAAGATTGAGAGATATCATATGTACATTGGTGCTCTTGACTAGAGCGATGATGGACATTGTGAAACATCCCTAGGTTACCCCTAGGTTTAGGTGACCAGTGCCCAGTAATGTCGCCAAACCGGAGGAGATCTCGGAAGATTGCGTGCGGGCTTTTCTCCGTTACCTCTACACCGACCAGGCGGTCATCGAGGCCAGAGGATATTTGAACTTGTCTCAAAATGGAAATCCCCCTGGGCAAAATGGTTGATTCCCTTTCAGTAGTTTTCCCGTGATTTGTCCATGGTGTTCCCTTGGTTGTCCGTTGGTTTTGTGCTTTCTGTTTTTTTTTTTTGTTTCTTTGCTTTTGCAATGGGGTGTTTCTTGGTTTTCCTGCCCCTCGACCTGCCCAAGGCCGGAGGTCGGGGAGTGTAAGGGATTCCAGGCCTTGGTTTGCCTTTGGTTTCCAGTGGACGTGTCTGTAAGATCAACAAATGACAGAAAGGCGTTCTTTTGCTCCCTGTGGCATCCAGTGGCCACAAGTCAGAACCGCATGGATGAAAGTTTGGCCTGTGTTGGAAACTTGTTGTGTAGCATTGCTTGGCGCTTGCTTGTCATTCTGTTCAGCCATGTTGTTCCTGCCAACCTCACAGGTTGCCCTCTGCTACACTCTTAGACTATCATACGGATGTTCAAGCTTTCATTGGGCAGACGCCTGTTCACGGTTAATTGCTGTTTGACTGATCCGGCAGAGCATCTGCATGCATTTTACGACTGCAGATGTGTATGTTTGGCGTTCTCACTCACCCCTGCAATTGGACCCTTACCATTGCTCCGGTTTTGGCACATCTTGAGTGCCCCACAACAGTCGCCTTTTGCCAGGTCCTTGGGACAAGAAACATGTTAGCTGCGAGCTTTCGCTTGGGCAGAGTCGGGGGGGGGGGGGGGAAATGCAAGCCATGTTTCTAGATTGCTATTGGATCTTTAGACTTTGACTTTTTGGAAAATAAAGGTGGTTCCCACTAAACCCACAAAAAGTTAAACTTTTGCAGGGGGATCACCAAGAGGCACACGCCTTTCCAGGCGAGCTTTGCGGTGGACTTGATAGCTATGCTGCAAGGCCGGGGCAGAGCTGGCTCATAGCTGTTGGCTTGTCGAATGTGTGTTGTTAACTGGTAGGAACCAAGCGAAAGATACTTGGAAGCGTTGGAAGAATGTTTAAGAAGCTTGGAGCTTGCGAAGTATCTAGATTGCATTTGCAGACATGAAGCCGATGCCAAGAGAGAAAGACAAAGAGAGACTTTTGGGAGTCCGTTGTAATTTGCAAGGGAGTAGTTTTTGGCCACAACAGTTCCACTGTGAGGAGTTGTCACAAGCCTGGGTTCCCTTGTCGGCGGCCCCTTCGACGCAGGGCCCCGAGCAGACTCAGACCCATAGAACAAAGTTGCAACAGCACCAGCATCATCCGACCTCCAGTCTGCACATCATGTTCTGAAATCGACGGGCATGGCCATTCTAAGCTTTGATGCTCCTTTTCAACCTGGTTCGACGTGGTTTCATGCATGTGTCTTTTGTGTGGCGCCGAACAAATGAGCACATTTGTTTGCCTTTCGGCATCGGCCCCCTGTTGCGTCGCGTCAGGCGACTACTTGCAACTCGGGGATGAGACCTACGGGGCTTTGGTGGATGCCTGCGAAGCAGCGGTGCTCGCAGCGAGCACGGTGCAGGCGGATGGGTGAGGGGCCGCTGGTTTGGCGCGTTTAGATGGTCTGGTGATTGCAAGGTTTTAGCGGGTCGTGGGTGGGGGCCTTTTTTGGCGTACTATGAGGGAAGGGGGTCATCGGTGTTGTTTTTTTGGTGGCGTACTATGCCAATTTGCGTGGGGAATTCGGTTCAACACCAAAAATAACCTCAGGGTAAGCCAGCTTAATGCGCATGCTGAAAGGGGTTTGGGGTCATCTAAGCAGAAATGAGTCTTGGCCGCCAAGAGGAAAGGGCTTGAACTGCTTTCCGGGAAAAACTTAACTATGAAACCGCCTCTTCTGTACGAGCAAAATGCGTTGTGTGGGAGCCCAAATTCTGCTCGTATTTTGGCAGATTGGGCTTGCGTTTGCGGCAATTGCGAGTTTTCACAAAGAAAGCAGTGATCTCCAACAAATCCTGCATGGGCACATTTTTTAAGGGTTTTGGCCACACACTACATAATGCGGAGCAGAACGTGTTTTTTCTTAGTAGGCGTTTCTCAGAGGCCCCAGGTTCCCCGTGAACCAACTCCGAACAAGCTCCGAACGAACAAACTCCGAACGAACTCCGAACGAACTCCGAACAAACTCCGAACGAACTCCGAACAAACTCCGAACGAACTCCGAACGAACTCCGAACAAACTCCGAACGAACTCCGAACGAACTCCGAACGAACTCCGAACGAACTCCGAACGAACTCCGAACGAA